GGGGTCCCTTGGCACCAACTCTGGCTGTAAGAGGGGAGTGTCTTTTGGGGGGATGTTTGGGGGGTCCCTTGACACCAAGCCTGAATGTAAGAGGGGATTGTGTCCTGTGGGGGATGTTTGGGGGTCCCTTGGCACTGGTTTTAAGAGGGGAGTGTGTCTCTTGGGGGTTGTTTGGGGGATCCCTCTGTCTTGAGTCTGGATGTAAGAGGGGAGTGTCTTTGGGGGATAATTTGGAGGGTCCCTTGGCACCAACTCTGGCTGTAAGAGGGGAATATGGCCTTTGTGGCATGTTTGGGGGTCTCTCTCTACCAAGTCTGGGTGTAAGGGAAGGGTGTCCTTTGGGGGATGTTTTGGGGGATCCCTTGGCACCAGCCTGGGTGTAAGAGGGGAGTGTGTCTTTGTGGCATGTTTGGGGGTCCCCCTATCCCGAGCCTGGATGTCAGAGCTCCCTGTGCTCACCCCCCTCCCGCCTTTGGGGGGTCATCCAGGGGGATCCCAGGGTTTTTTCCCTTCTTTTGCAGAGCAAGCTGGTGAAGTACTTCAGCCGGCAGCTGTCGTGCAAGAGGAAGGTGGCGCTGCAGGAGCGCAATGCCAAGCTCGAGGGCTTCCCCCAGCTCCTGCACTGGTTCCGCATCGTCGACATCCGCAAGGAGGTCATGGAGGTGGGGCTGGAAGCCCCTCCGGGGGCCTCAACCCTCCCCGGGGGGGTTTTCCCGGGGGGTTTGTGAGTCCTGATTCTCTCCAGGGTTTTTTTTTTCCCCTGGAGTTTGAGAGTCTTGACCTTCTCTAGGAGTGTTTTTCCCAGGGGGTTGTGAATCCTGACCTTCCCCAAAAATGTTTTACCCAGGGATTAGTGGATCTTGACCTTCTCCAGAGGTGTTTTTCCCAGGGGTTTGTGAGTCCTGACCCTCTTCAGGGTGTTTTCCCAGGGGTTTGTGAATCCTGACATTCCCAAGGGGATTTTTCCCAAAGTGTTTGTGGATCCTTGACTCCTCAGCTCTGTTCCACCCACCAGCAAGGACACCCCGTGGATGTTCCCAGGGATTAGTGGATCTTGACCCTCTCCAGGGGCATTTTTTCCAGGAGTTTGTGGATCCTGACCCTCTCCAGGAATGTTTTTCCCAGGACTTTGTGAGTCCTGATTCTCTTCAGAGTTTTTTTCCCCTGGAGTTTGAGAGTCTTGACCCTCTCTAGGACTGTTTTTCCCAGGGGTTTGTGAATCCTGACCTTCCCCAAAAATGTTTTTCCCAGGGATTAGTGGATCCTGACCCTCTCCAGGGCGTTTTTTCAGGGTTTTGTGGATCCTGGCCTTTTCCAGGAATGCGTTTCCCAGGGGTTTGTGGATCCTGACCCTCTCCAGGGGTGTTTTTCCCAAGGGTTTTTGGATCCTGACCCTCTCCAGGGGTGTTTTTCCCAGGGTTTGTGGCTCCTGAGCTGAAGTTGCCGCTCCCTGT